ACACAATACACACGAATAGAGGACGGAAGATACCACAAAAAGTTACAGGAGGAGATAAAAAGATAAGAACAAAGACATCCTCCACTCTTTCCCTTTCTTTTCCTAAAGGACGAAACGCGTCACACGAAAACTTTTTCCACTTTGTCATTCTCCTTTCTCCTAAAATTGTTCTTGATATATAAAAATCATATATTGTTATCTGATATTATCGATATGGAAAAATACCAAATAATATAAGAATATAAAAAAAATATTCCCACCGTACAAATTTTAATTTGGAATGATATCAACATAGTAAAACATGGTTCTACTTTAGTTTGTTATCTTTTCGTTGTAGATAACAAGCCAAAGTAGAATCATATTTTACTCTGTAGATATCATTCCAAATTAGAATTTGTACGATAACCGATGTACATGCTGTTTATCGCTAGAATATTAATAAAAGAATAATTTTTAATATTTTAATTACATTTTCTTTATTATATATGTTTTATTATGTACATTGTGGTCCGAAGGTCTTGTCACTCCTTACATAATATAATTTTTTATTTCCGACGGCTGATACGAGTTCCTACAGTTTGGAAGAGAGGATTAGTTTGACAAGATTTTCGGACCACATTGTAGATATTCTAAAATAAAATTTGTATTGTGTAGATATTTTCCCTTGTAGATAACAAGCCAAAGTATAAAAAAAAAAACTTTCAATATCAGACAATTCATTTAGAAGCCGAAATTTTTTTTTACTAAAATGAATCTAAAAGAGCCATCATCCCACAATGCACACATAAAACACTAAGAACATCCTATCACATATTTCCGACCTACGCATGTGATTTCTTAAAAGCATCTACCAAGGAACTAGAAGAAATGAAAAAAAATAACCTTTAAAAAAGCTAGAAATGTTGAATTCTAAGAACGTTGTAAAAAATCGGAAATGGATTAATTACAACAAATGATAATCGAATAATAACAATCAAAATCAATAAACTACAGCAAAAATTCAGCGCCCTATGTACTAATAGCAAGTGGAAATATATTGGAAGATCAGATCTAATAGAAAATCTATCGGATATAAAACTATCCGGCGCCGAACTGGAAGCCCTCAGCTTTGGTTTAAAATTCGCTACCGGGATTCCTAAAGGAGATCTAGCTGACGCAAGAGTTTAAAATCACAGACAAAATGACAAAGAATTCACTAAAGGCTTGATTCAAGAAATACTCATTCCCACTATAGAAACAAACAATGAAAGAACTTTACCACAGAGACACTTAAATGCACTAAGGAACCTAGCAAAAATAAGCAAGCCTACATTACCTCATTGGGAAAGGGCGGTGAGATTCTTATCCTGAATAAGAGCACATATAATGAAAAAATAATTTAATCTTCAACGATACTGACACATATGAAAAAGTAAATGAACAGAAAATAATTACTGAAACACAAGAATTTAATAAGGCGATTAGGAAACTAATTAAAAACACCCAAACTTTACAGTCTCCTTAAAACCCACAAAACAGGCATCACAATTCAGGTATAGACAGCACTCCTCAAACTGAAGAAAGCCATAACAAAAATTTTAACCCCTCTCCATCTCATAAAAAAAATCAGTCAACTTAGTTGAGAAACTCACGGTCACTCTAGATATAAAATCCCTTTACACCAGCGAAAAATGCCTAAATCTTTTTAAAAAGCCTCTAACATAATAAAAAAAATAAACCACTTTCTGCCAATAAATAAAATAATAAAAATCTGCCGTCTCATCACTAATCGATATTAATTCATATTTAGCAATAATTTTCATAAACAAAAATGGTTATTAATGGGATTGCCCCTAAGCGGAGTGACGGCATGTATTTTCTTAAATTTTCTCGAATCTGCCGGTTTCCAAAATATTTTAACTAAATAATCAACATACTCCCAATATATTGATGATGCTCGATTAATATATCCCCGTGATACTGATCTTGTAGATAAATTAAACAAAGTCGAACAAACAATAGAATTTACATACGAAATGGAAGAAAACAATAATTCATTTCCTTAGATATCATGTTACACCGCGTTAACAATATTTTAAAACTTAGCGTCCCCCGAAAATCAAATATGATCTCATAAATTTCTCTTCCCATCATAACAACAAAATAAAATCCGTAATGATCATCGGATTCTTCTTAAGAGCACTCAGAATTTGCAGCCCTCAATATTTACACGAAGAGGAGATATACATTGAAAATACTTTCAAGTTCGTACAATATCCTCACTATTTCATATTCAATGCGAAACAAAAACTCATGGAATATTTCAAAATAGCGACCCTTCCTGACAAAACCCAACGAATCAAAACTTATATTCTTTTACCCACTAACTCTATCACAACTAAAATTGAAAAGAATTTATCTAAATTCGATATAAAATTTGTCACAACTACTTCTAAAACAATAAAAATTTAATTAATAAAAAACAAAATATAAAGCTAAAACCGGGAGGAGGAATTTACTCTATTACCCATAATAACTGCCACATTTCAGAGAAATCTCAAGAAATTTAAATATGTTATAATCTGTAAACAAAAGGATCCTTTACAAAAAAAAAAAAAAAAAAAAAAAAAACATAAAATAAAAACATTAAATGCATTAGTTGCTCCCCGGAGCGGGACTGACCCTAATTTAGATTAAAATTCTACTTTAATTAAAATGGAAAACAATTCACGAAGGCAAAAATATTTAGAAAGTATTTTAATCGCTAATTTAGCCACAGTAAATTTGGGCCCAGGTTCATACAAAGTTTGACCATACTTGATAGATCTTCTATTATGACAATGTGGGATATTTAATAACAAAAGTGATGAAAACAGAAACAAAAACAAAAAGAATCTAAATGAAAATGACTAGATTATATGGCCAAAACATATATATATAAAAAAAATCATCTTTAAATTTAAAATTCCCAGCGCCTCCCTTTCGCGCGCATGTGTAGTTGCATCAAAGTAAATATAAAGTCCGATGAAGTCCTAAAGGACAAAACGCATCAAACGAAAACCTTTTACATTTTTCATACTTACTTCCCCTAAAATTGTTCTTGATATATTAGAATTTATATATTATTATCCCATATATATATATATATATATATATATATATATATATATATATATATATATCAGTCCATCCGTGTCTGTCTATATGTCTATCTGATTTTCTCTTTCTTTCTTTCTTTCTTTCTTTCTTTCTTTCTTTCTCTCTCTCTCTCTCTCTCTATATATATATATATATATATATATATATATATATATATATAAATGCGAATGTCTCTGTGTCACATGATGTTACACTTTTTCAACTTTTACTCCTAGAGGCCATATCCCAACATATCATACCATTTTGGAATCAGGTCGACTCCGTGAGCAAATTAAAAACATTCCGGGCGGGATCCAGACCCGCAATCCTGAAATTTTGTATTCCCAAGTTTTCATTACTGCGATTGTTTTCGGATTCCGCCACCTTGGCCTCTACTGTTAAAAACAAATAAAGGGACACAACTCTCTAAATTTCAATAGCACATGTTCAAATGAAAAAATACTGTTTTCAAATTACAGTGTTTCAAAATAAAACTGTCTGTGTTTTCAACTTTACTCCTAGAGGCCATAGCCCAACATATCATACCATTTTGGAATCAGGCCAACTCTGTGAACAAATTAAAATAATTCCGGTCCGGATCCGTACCTGCAATCCTGAAATTTTGATTTCCCAAGTTTTCATTAACGCGATTGTTTTCGGCTATTTTTCTACGTGAATTTTTGCGACGAATAACAAATTTGGAAATAAATTTGGGAATAATCAAAATTAACTGCGAAAGTCATCCATGAAATAAGAATAACTGTTTGTACGGAAAGGCAACATTCGCTGCGCCAATGCAATTTCGGATTTCGGTGTCGCATTTTCCCCTTTTTGTTATCAAATTGTCTTTAAATTAATTGGCGACAGAAGAATTATCGTTGAATTTTCAAAAAGTAATCTTAAATATTCATGCAATACTTAAATGCAACGATCAATTTTGAGTTCTTCTATAGTTTATTGTTGCCTATCGCATCTACTCCGCCCTACGTATTGTGATGAAGGCCCAGTCAAGCGCACTCCGCGGAGCTGGCTTAAACACCGACCGATTGGGCATTTTTAAGGTAATATATATATATATATATATATATATATATATATATATATATATATATATATATATATCTTGCGTCTCTCTGCGTATCTGTTTGTTCATCTATTTTCCCCCTCACTACCTTTCTCTTTTTTCGCTATCTATCTCAGTTTATATGTGTCAATTTATCTAGTTTATTCCTATCTATCTAGATGTCTATCTCTCTATTTATCTATCTATCTCTTTCTGTCTGTATTTTAGTAGTTGGTTTCTATCTCTCTATCTCTCTATGTATCTGTCTATATATCTAGTTTGTTCTTGGGTATTTATCTATCCGTGTATCTGTCTGTTTATCTAGTTTGTTCCTATCTATATATGAATCTGTTTATATGTCTGTCTTCTTTGTAGTTTGTCTGTTTCGCTGTCTATTTATCCGAAAAAAAACGCTTCACAGCGCATTTTAAACAATGTTTAAATAGAAGTGTCTTTGAATTTGAATTCACTCATGACTTGTGCCTTCGTGTTCTTTAGAAATCTTGTTGGGATTCCCAAACTTTGTTTCTTTGGACCGCATTTTCAATATAAAGAAAGTGACTGAAGTCTAGTCAGGACCATTAACATAGAAGATTCTTCTTTGGATTGCTAAATGTATAGCCGGAGCACCAGGCTAGATGTGGCAGCAATATTCAATGCATGTACGAATGGTAGACTTATAAATATGTACGATAGATTGTGACAAGAAAAATTGTCTGGCACGATACAGTGAACCAACTCTCCTGGGGGTTAGCATCGGTCATGAGGGTGGAAGGCAAACGGGGTTCTCTCAAACGATTAAAGAGAGCAGTTTCGAAAATTAATCGAAAAAGAATGAGAAAGAAGAGAGGAGAGTTAAATGGTAGGGACAAACACAGACTAAGAAAGAAACAAAAAAGAAAGAAACAAACAAACAATAAGAAAGAGAAATAAAGAGAGAAATAAGAAATGAGAGAAGGGACGTAAATATCAAAGAAATAAAAACAAGCGACAGAGTAAGAGAGAAGAGATTAAAAGAAATAAACGAAAAAAAAAGGCAATGAAAGAGAGAGGTAAAAGAGAACAAAAAAGAGAAAGAGAAGTAGAAGAGAACAAACAAGAGAAAAAGAGAAGTAGAAGAGAACAAACAAGAGAAAGAGAGAAGTAGAAGAGAACAAACGGAGAAAGAGAGATGTAGAAGAGAACACGTAAATGAAAAAGAGAGACAGAAAGGCATTAAAAAGAGAAAGAGAATGACAGAAGAGAAAAAGAGGTAGAAGAGAACAGAGAAAGAGAGATGGAGAAGTGAACAAAAATAGAGAGAGAGGAAGAAGAGAACACGCAAGAGAAAAAGAGAGGCAGAACAAAAAATAGAAAGAGTGAGGTAGAAGGGAATAAAAAGAGAGAGGCAGAAGAGAACAAAGAAGAGAAAAAGAGGGACAGAAGAGAACAAAAGAGAATGAAGTAAACAAAAAGGAAAAAAAAGCAACTGAGAGAGAGGGGACTTAAAACGATAACAGACAAAAAGATAAAAGATCTAAAAGGAAATAGAACGATAACAGATAAGAGATAAAATATTTAAAAGGAAATAGAAAGAAGATGTATGGAAAAGAAAGAGAGAGAGAACAAAGCATTGAAAATGAAATAGAAAAGAACTAACAAAAATGAGAAAGAGAGAGAGGCAAATATTAAAGAGAGAAAAGAAGAAACAAGATCAATAGACAAGAACAAATTAAAAAAGAAAATATCGAGAGAAACCCTAGAAAAATAAATGAAAATAATTAAAATGGAAAAAATAACAAAAGAACGAAAGTGAGAGAAAGAAAGAAAGAAAGAAAGAAAGAAAGAAAGAAAGAATGATATAAAAAAAAAAGGTCGAAGTTGTTCTGGTTCTTTAAGATAATCACTTTTATTGTTTTGTGCATTACATTTCAAGATGGCCAAACCTTGACAGCCAAGATCCGATCAACAACGAGCATGTAAGAACATTTGACCTTATAAACCATCTAAATACAACTGCGTGATTTTGACGTGCGAATTTCCTGTTGAGGCAAATGCATTAGATTCACACATGAATTGATCTGAAACGCTTGGAGTAATTTCAATATTGTGCCAATCGGCTGAATATATGTTTATTCCATCTACGAAGCTGTAAGCTTTCCAAAAATCGACGCAACATCAGATTTTATTATGCAAGTCAATATTTTCGCAATAAAATTGGTTCAAATTGACCGACGTAGGGAGAATTTTCAAGATATATTTACGTTGAATATTAATATAATTTTCTACTGGGAATAAATTGTAGGATCGGTTTTCAATTGTGATTAAGTAATAAATTGATCCGCTCTAGAATTACTAGATGATGTCAGATTTAATATGCAATTCAATGTTTTCACAATAAAATTGTTTTTTTTTTTTGTTGTTGTTGTTGTTTTTTTAAGCCTTTCACCCCAAGCAAGGCGGGAAGCCACTAGCATGCAAGGGGTTACATAAAGTTGGAGCTAGAGCAAATAGGAGTGATAGAGGAAAGGATGAAGATAAGGATAGGGGATAGATCAGGGCATCTGGAGACGTCGATTGACATTACATTTGAATAGTTGGATGGGAGGGAGTTCCACAGGCGAGAGGTGCGAGACATTAAGCTATTGGAATAGAAGAGACGGCTACATTTAACAGTTTCGACAGTGAAAGGGTGTGAACGAGACGCCAGTCTAGTAGAACGCTTAAATTCATGAAGTCTGGGGACCAGCGAAAGCAGCTCCTCGGAGCACTTACCATGAAAGTATTTGTTAAAAAAAAGACAGAGGGAAGCCACGGCACGACTGCAGATGAGATGCCAGATCAGGGACAATTACATTGCATATCCGTCTCTGGATCTTATCAAGGACCTTGGGACAAACATAACGGTCACCAGTAATACTCCATGCAAGGGCGAGTGGTTGATTTGTAGATTTGAAGGATCGACTCCGGCGAGAAAAATTTCCTGGCGCGGCACAGGGAGCCAACTTTCTTTGCGGTGGACGAAGCTATTGATCTCAATGTATTTGTTTCATCTCAGGTCAGCAGTAAATGTGAGACCGAGTAGTCGCAAAGAGGAGCTCTCGAGAAGTTGAGCGTCAGACATTCTAATGGGGGGTGGGGCAGGAATGGTTCCCTGTGGTGAGTAATAGAGATCAGTTTTGTTTTTGAGGCGTTAAAGTTAACCAGCCATTTCCTGCCTCAGTTCACAACTGATTGGGGGTCCTTTTCGAGACGAACGGCCAGGTTAGTTTTGTCGGCGACACTATATTTGTTTTTGAGACAGGAGTAAATTGTCGTGTCATCCGCGTAGATGCCTACTTAGGAATCTATGACGTCAGGAAGATCGTTGATGAAGATAAGGAACAGAGTAGGGCCTAAGATGGAGCCTTGGGGAACACCTGCGTTCGTGGGATAGGAGTTGTAGGAGAATCCGTTGAGAACGACCTTCAATACACAGTTTGACAAGAATAATTGTATTGTCAAACAATCGACCTGAAATTCCATAACCCTGAAGCTTGCGAAGAAGGCCGGCATGCCAAACCTTATCAAACGTTTTGGAGATATCTCGAGCCACGGCATGAGCTTCTCCGTTATTATGAATAGCTTGGTAAACAATTTCGGTGATGGCCGAAAGCACATCAGCTGTAAACGTGCAAAGGTGAAACCATATTGCTTGTCGGAAAACAGATCATGGGATGTAAGGTGCTGTTGAAGCTTAAATAAGCATGGAATAATACAACACAAAATGTACGTTAACAAAATGTATTGAAACAAAGAATAGGTACACAATATTTACAGTTAGTTTGGTATATTCTTGGGAAGACTGTTCCTGCATAATGGGTTGACTAAATCGCAGTCGGGCAGAGTCTCTGGATTCAATTTCTTAATCTCTACTATCTTCCCCGTCTTCCGGTACCAACCCATATTTATATGGTCGGTAGTCCGCTTATGTAAATTAGGTGTATCATACACAACAGGTGCTTAACCATTTCGGCGTTGATTAAAGCTTCGAAGACTTTAAACAACCGATGATGTGTATCACGAATGACATTTAACTGACTTATTGGTGAGGAAAATAGAACTAGCGAGCCGTGTTAAAATTCCCCGCCTGCTATGGGTTAAATGTTACGGCAGATTGGGCACTGTAGTTTTGGTTGTCAACCAATCTAGGAGGACAAAATTAAAAAATTCAGGAATTCTTATGGCTGCAACTAGTGGTTTTAATTCTGATGACAGGCTACAAGAGGTTGGATATCATTCCAATAATTTTAAACCATTTTTGGTAAGATGAGAAATAGTCAACTTTATTATGAACTTAAGCTAAACTCTTCAATGTTACAACCTATACAACTAAAAAAATCTAATGTCAAGAACTTATAATTCTCTGCTTTCACCATAACACCATCAACTCCTAAGAGGCATACACTTTTAATGTCTACAGTACTAGCCGAAAAAAGTACTTCAATATTCCCTCTATTGTTTTATAAGTCATCTTGGTAGAATATAAACTATCAATGTAGCTATTTATTCATCACTAAAACTTCTTTTTCATGTCCCCTCAGCACGTGGATGATCATGGCTCTCCACAACTTTCTATCCATTGTAATTCTTAGTAACATCTGTCTTATTCCCATCCCTCCCAATCCACATTCCGCATCTTCACATAAGCTTGTCAGGTAGGTAATCCACTTCCTCTTTCTGTCTCTTTTTATTTTGATATGTCCTGTAAGTGCCAAATTCTCCAAGCTGTCTTTCCTCATTGTGTGTCCCAGAAATTTCAACTGTCTCTTTCAGATTCTAAGTATAAGTGTCTTTTTTGTTTCCATTTTCCTTAAAACTTCCTCGTTGCTTACATGCTCAGTCCAGGATATTCTCAGCATCCTTCTGTAGAACCACATTTCTATTGCCTCAAGTTTTCACTTCATCTGTGAGGAGATTGTCCAACCATCACTGCCATGCAAGAGAATATTACATAATAGTTCAGCACTCTTCACTTTATTTCTAATAGAATTTTACTGTTTCTATGTACTTTGCTTAGCTTTTGGAAGGCATCTTTCGATATGCCAATGTGCTTCCGAATTTCGGTGCCGCATTTTCCCTCTTCTGTAAAGACACTTCCTCGATATTATTAATATTAATGAATTGTCATATAATATCAGTTCTTTTAAGATATTATATGACAATTCAATGCTGTTTCTAACGAGATTTCCCTGTTTCTTAATACACTGCTTAGCTTTTGGAAGGCATCTTTCGCTATTCCAATGCTCCTTCGTATTTTAATGTCATATTTTCCGCCCTCCTTTAAAACATTTTCCAGATATTTAAATTACCGTATTTGCTTGATTTTGATATCTCCAATTTTTAGTTCTTGTCTTGGGCTTTCTCTCTTGCTGACAACCACATTTTCTGTCTTCTTACAAGTGACGGTTAGTCCTTTCTTCTTGCCTTCCTTTACTACCTTGTCTAGGAGATTCTGTAGTTTTCCTTCGATGTCTGACATCAGCACAGTGTCATCTGCGTATATTACATTGTTAAGAAAGATTGCGTCCACCGATAATAAATTCTGGTATGGTTTTCAGCACTTTTAGATTAGCCTCGTTGTAAAAGTTGAATAAATCTGGTATTGCTGTTGATAAATCAATTTTCATTGACTCCTTCGATGGACTTAGGTGTTTTTCATTGTTTTATCACCTTTGTTTAAATGGTGATGTCCACGCTGTGGCAACATTCTTCACCACTTCAAAAACGTTGAAGCTCATTGAAGAAGTATATGAAAAATTATTGGAGATTCACTAAAACCAAGCTTGATGGAAGCTACACTCGGATGCTGAAAGCTATACTCTTGGATACAATATCCAACTAAATCACAGCTCTATAGACTCATCCCTGATATTTCTACAATCATATGCGAACGCAGGATGGGTTTTGCTGGACACTGCTAACGAACAAAACAAATACTTGCGAGTGATCTACTGTTCTGGAAACCTAGCCATGGTGCAAAACGGGTTAGTTGCCCAACAACCATCTACATTGACCAAATATGCTATGAAAACTCTAATAACTTTCTGACCTTTATAAAGGACCGTGATAATTGGGGTGATAGACTCATGAATGTCCGAGCTAGATCGACCGAATAATATTAAACGGTGATACTTTGGTTGCTTTCGAGTCTTTAAATAATGTTCTGTATTTTTTTCATTCTGTTCATATGATAACCCCTATTCTTTAAATATATTCTTACTGGTCAATCCGCTTAGCCTTTCCTCTTTATCAACTTTTTAATCTCTTTCTATGACATTTTGAACGCCAAACTTCTTTCTTGCTCTTATTTATCCAACGTTCCAATTTCCTTATTGATTGTTCTGTGATCTCTGGTCAACTTTTTCGCAATTTCCAAAACTGTGTTCCCATAAGTAATTAACTTTACATCTTGTTCCTCTCTTGAGGTTACATTTGTCCTACGACATATGGTAATCATTATATATAAGATTTTAACAAAGATTGTGTTTCGGGAAAAAAGATCGGCTATCTGCAATATAAGACAAGCAGTCTTTGTAAATAAAATGCCCAATATGAAGATAGAAAACTTTAATGGCAAAAAAAATAAAAGGAATATATCTATAAATGAATTCAATTTAAGTAAGCCCTGACGGACGGCTATTGTTTCTGCGGAAATAGATAAACTGAAGATTTAATTTTATTTCCTTTCTATGTATGTATGCATGAATTAAAAAATATAAATCCACATTATTACAGTAAGTCCTCGGGGTACGAGAGTCCCGATCTACGACGAGTCGTGGTTACGACGCAATCTCCATTAATCTTCTTTCGACTTATGCAGTTTGCCTCGTACATAATACGAGACTGCAAGAGAGACACTATCTTACTCTTCGTCATCCCATCT